TATAGAGTTTCTAACAACTAAGATCAGAAAATTGATATGTAAGTTTTATATACTGCGAGAGTTACTAAGTTTTAAGCTTATAAAAAAAATGTATAAAGCATTGGTCGAGTCCCTTATTCGATATGTCTTAATAGCTTGGTGAGGGTCTTATGGCTGTAGTTTAGAACCTCCGCTCATATTTCAGAATTATATACTTAAAGTCATGTTTAAAAAAGACAGAACAAGACAGACAAAGTTGTTATGATGATATATTTATGTAATGTAAAAAGCTTACACATCTTCCTTTCTTGTTCATTTATTCAAAAAAAAAGTATATTTACCAATGTTGTACAACATTCCCACTCCACTAGATTGAATAAGAACAAAGCTCTGCAAATACCTCAACCTAAAAGCACATTTAATCTAAAATTTATAAATTACCTAGGAATTAAATTTTATAATCTGTTATGGAAATTAGAAATATTGAAAATCAGTCTAGTTTCACTAAACAATGTAAAAAATATGTGATAAAAAATTGTGAAAAATTCAAAAACATGTAATCTCATGCAACCTTTTTACTTACAGTGGCCAATTTTTGGCTAAGCTTGGATATCGATGTTTTCAGCACTAGTGCAACAGACAGACTAAAGTAAAGAAATCAATCTATGTGTTTGGCTTTTTAATTTATCCGCCCATCTGCACTAATTTAGTCTAAGTATAAGTTTATTTTCTTTAAATTGTTTATGTTGAAATACAGATTGTGGTTCAATATGACAAAATCGGTGTAAGTGTGTAATGATGGTTGATAAAGTAAATAAATAAAAAAATAAAATAAAATAACTAAACAATCACATCACCGCAAGTACTCGATCTAAGGGCTCTAATTTCAGCCAACTTAGAGACAGATGACAATCTTATCCTGTGTAAGTTACTAATGGAGCAGCCACGCAGGATCAGGAAACCGCCGGTATATATACAAAAATATAACATGGAATTACTGGAATCAGACAGCACTCGGAAACTGTATAAAAACAGATTAACGCAAAAAATGAGTAAGATTGATCTCACTAACCAAAATGTTGAAACTTGCTGGAATGAAATAAAGAACTGCATACACTAACCGGCTGAAGAATTCATTGGCAACAAGAAAATCAACATCAATGCAATAAAATCCACTAAACCATGGTTCTGTCAAGAAGTGAAAGACCTCGCAGAAGTAAAGCGGAAACGCTTTTCAACGTACATGAGCACCCCAATCCAGGAGAAACACAACGAATATATACAAATCAGGAACAGAGTCAACTCAATGATCAAAGGGATCAAAAGGAAACATTGGGCCAAATTTACCAGCGACATGGATCATGGCCTATGTGGTGCCCAAAGAAGAGAAGAAGTGTGGAGTATGCTTAAAAACTGGAAGAAACCCATAAACAAATACGTAAAGGTTAAAGGAGTCACTACGGTGGTGTGGGAGGAATCCTAAGGAAAGCTGTATGATATCAAGGACACACATATGGCAGAAGAAAACTGAGCCTGAAAACTACAGAGGAATAACTCCACTATGCTCAACAATGAAGATGTTTACAAGGCTGCTCAAGGACAAATTAGAAGAGCAAATAGAAATCAAAGAGGAACAACAAGGGATCAGAAAGAACAGAACGACAACCGATGCTATATTTATTCCTAAACAAATAAAGGAAAAAGCAATAGAGTACAACACACCTGCATTTATTTGCTTTGTCGACCATACTAATGCTTTCGACAGAGTTCGCCTGGGAGACGTCATAAAAATACAAGAGGAAAATGAAACGGCTGCTAACATAGTAACAACGATATACAACCTTAACACTGGTAAGAGAACGCAAATCAAAGATGGAGAGAAGAGAACATCCAGCATCCCCACCCCAGGGGGAATTAGACAAAGAGAAAGCCTTAGTCCATTTTATTTAACCTCCTGATGGACAAAATCATTGAAGAAGTAACATTCCTGAACTCGGTATACAGAATAAACAACAGGGCTATTAGCATGGTCCCCTATGCCGACGACGCTGCTATTTTCACAGAAAGTGAGGATGACCTACAGAGACAGCTATTTAAGTGCCACCAGTTTAGATACCTGGGCATAGGTATGTCCAGCGCTCAAGACCCGGTAAAAGACTTGAGAAACCAAATTAACAAATCAGCCATAATCTCAGGTTGTGTAAGGGAAACTGAATTGGGATATGGGCTAATCCTTAAATGAAAAAGGATAGTAAGATCAAAATATATAAGACATGCGTCAGGCCCATAATAACATATGGTATAGAAGCGAGAGAGGATACCAACAAGACCAAGAGGATGCTGCGAGTCGACCGAAATGTCAGTACTGAGGACAATAGCCGGAAAAACAAGAAGAGATCGGGTAAGAAACATAGACATTAGATCACAAAGCGACGTACAGGATGTGGTAAGATGGGGAAGGCAGAGGAGAAGCGCATATACGTACGACCACGTGAAGAGGATGACCGACGATAGACTACCACGCACTGTACTAGAAGGAAAACCAGCAGGGACCCGTCCACCTGGAAGACCACCAAAGAGATGGAGGATGGAGGCAAGTACGAAATCAACAGATCAACTAGATCTCATCAAACAAGCAGAAGAAGAAGAAGTTTACTAAAGCAACAGAGATCAGTTTGTGTTGACTTGAGCCTTTTAATGATTTTTATAAAAGTTTTGAACCTGGAAGAGCCAGCATAATAAAAGAAAGTTTAAGAAAGTTAAAAACGCCTTTATTTAATATGCTAAAAATGTAATAAATTTGTCTCCAAACGCCAAAAAACAAATAAAACCTAAAAACTGTGAAATAATATTGTACCGTGGATGGCCGAGTATCAAACTCTTCCTTCTGCTTGCAACTTTTATTCCACTCGGTATAACTTTAACTACGGAACAGGAACAAACTAACTTCTAAATTAA